TTTTTAAAATTTTTTAATTTATTTATATTAGTTGGAGACTACTTTACAATATTGCAGGCACATTCTTAATCACTGGACCACTAGGGAATTCCTGGCCTGCTTGTCCTTGGGTGTGCATCTCTCTGGGCTCTGACACATGGAGAGATTCCAGGCAGCTGGAGGGTGGTAAACAAAGTATTCTGTATGTAGCCATACGGTGGAGTAGCATAGATGGATGAAAAGTGATGAACTTCTGCTTTCTGCTGCCACGTGGGTGAGCCTGCAAAGCATCACGCTAAGTGAAAGAACCCAGACACAAAAGGCCACTTCCTGCAGGAGTCCGTTGATACGAAATGCCCAGAAAGGGCAAATCTACAGAGACGGAAATTAGATGAGAAGATGTCTGGACCTGCAGATCCTGTTGGGGATCGAGTGCTGATGGGTACATGGAACCTTTTTGTGGGGCTGGCAGTGTTCCACAACTGCACTGTGATGGTGGTTGCACCAGTGTGTGAAGGTACTAAAAGTCACTGCCCTGGAAGTGATGGGTGTGATCTGTGGTATGTAATTATACCTCAGTAAAGCAGTTGAGGAAGGTAATGCAGATGTCCAAGTGAGACAGGTGGGAAAAGATATGCCATTGCTTTTGTAACAACGAGGAGTGCCCCTGCTCCTTCCACGCTCTGGGTCTGGCCTCCTCCACACGTGCTAGATGCTCCCTCCAGAAACAGTCGCTGTGCACATCAGGACAGAATCCCCAGTGCGCACACACGTCTAATGTGTCTCTGTGTTGACTCACAGGTGCCTGTTGTGTGACCACAAGTCAATGGCTCTGGATAGGCTCCCAGAACCCACCCTGCATCTGAAATTCCACTTAGTTGTTTTCCCATTGTTCTCAAATCACGTGGACCCAGCTTCCGTTTCCCTGGTAACAAATCTCAGCCCTTAGCTCCAACCTCTGGTCACAGGAATATCTGTAGCCTGGTGTGAGGCCCCCTTCCTGAGCTCAGCAACCCAGAAAGGATGCTCAGCAGAGCAGTAACCAAGACAACAGAACTCCATCCATCCTCCTTCTGCCGCCAGGATTGAGGTGCATTCCCTCCCCTCCATCTGCCTGAGTGTCTGGTACGGAAGGGGACTTGGGGGCATGACACACCACTGAGTTATTGAAATTGTCCTAAATATGGCAGTGAATAAATATGTAAAAAATCCCTCAGAAGGGAATTCCCTCAGAAGGGAATGTTTAATTACAAATTTTTTAAAAATTTCACTAGTAGCAAACATGGCTCCTCAGTTGAGGGTTCTATTTAAATCCTGGATGGGTGAAGCATCATGTGATTGTGCTTCTGAGTCCTAACTGTGCATCAAATCTCCCCTGGAGAGGCCTTAGAAGAGCTGATGCTGGCAGCACATCCCAGGAGAGTCTGAAGTAGTAGGGTTGGTGTGTGGCCACCATGATAATGCATGAGCATTATCTGAAAAAGTTCTCTTATGAAACCCGAGCTTGCAGCTGTGGAAACAGAACCCATTCTTCCTGGAAGAAATCGGACATCAAAACCTTGCAACTCTCTAGAAGCAAAGCAGGCTTTCATCATGACCCCCTATGCGTGACAGGCACCTTAGGCTGAGGAAAGGGACAACTTGCCCAAATAAATACTTGTTTCAAATCTGACCTTGTGCTTGCTCTGCTGCGTGTTCCTGAATCCAAAGTTTTACAGTTAAAACCCTGCTGTTGTTAGTGAAACTGACTATGTTTTAGTTCTTGTCAGGATCCCTTGTGCCTAGTTAGTTGAATACATTTCTAAAACACTGTGGAGATTACTGCATTCGACAGATCAAGAGAGTGCTCCAAAAAAAAAAAAAAGATTCAAGACGGCTGAGAATTGTAGCTGTTGATGTTGATGTGGAAGGATCGGCTGTCAGCATATCTGCTGCCTGTGCTCAGTTGCCGTTGTAAACTGTTCCCTGTGTTATCAAATTAACTCCCATGCTCAGATGAAGACCAAATAAGAACAGGATGTTTATTGGGAAAAATACAGTTAAGCAATCCCTTGTTTGATGCACACACTTTAAGACCCACCTCTCGAAACGTTCTACTTTAGGTATCTCTTCTGGATATTCTTTGGCATGTTCCCCAATGATGGGCTTACACTGCTGTGTCCTGACTCACCGTCCTGTTAAAGACAGGGCTTTCAACCTCTCAGGTGGAGTACAGTGGCCAGGTTCTCTCGGAGATCCAAAAGAGGGTGATGGCCTGTGCTCAGGACACCTTCAGAGTGTGTCTGTAGGAACAGGGCCTCTGAGAGGAACGGATCCCCACCTGTGGCAACAGGAAGATCTCGGGTCAGCCTTTTCCAGAGCAGCTGCAGGGGAGTCAAGGCTTGGTGAAGATCACACCCAGCAGAATGTCTGGGATTGTAGTTGAAGGAACTGGGTGGATGGCAGTATCATCCATGTGACACCCCAGGGAACATTGGCCTGGGGCTACTATAAGGTCTGCAGTGCTTATGGGACATCTGAGTGCAGATGGCCTATGTGTCTCAGCCTGTGGTGGAAGTGAGGCCCATTTGGGACGTCTTAGGTAGATCTGGTAATAGGAAAAACCATCAGCATAGAGGGATACGAATTAAAACAAGTCAGATGGGTAAAAGCTCTGGGGGGTGACGTGGTCACCCGAGGATTATATGTAGAATGGAAGAGCACAGGGCAGAGGTGGGAAACCAGAGGAAAGCAAAACCAAGATTTAGGAGGGGGTCAAAGTAAATGGACAGACAGGGAGTCTTAGAAGAAATGGATTGAGAGGGAGGAGGAAAGCCAGCATGCACTTCTGTCAGAGACTCTGACCAAGGAAAGTGTTTTTGAAGACGGAATGTGTCTGTGGCCAATACAGCACCGGGTACTACGGTTTGGCCCATGGAGCTCTTGGGATACGTTAGCAAAGGGATGTTGTGTGGATGGGAACTCAGAGGAGAAATCAAGAGGTAACCAGCTAAGGATGCTCATGGAGTCTGTACTTTCAAGAAGCATGGCTTGAAAGGAATCAAAGACGCAGCGCATTGGAAGTAGAGGTCTGTGTGCTTTCAGGGTATGCTATTTTGTTCTCCAAACCAAAGAGACCAGGATGCCAGTTCCAAAGGAATCATCAGGACTGTTGAGACTAGAAGACAGAATGGAGAATTGGAATAATCTTCACAGGTGAGTATTCACGTTGAGGTGAAGGGAGAGTGGATGGTTTCAAAGCAACATTGGAGTTCCAGGAAGACCTTCCTCTCCCTCTTAGCCCCACTCTGCCTCTGCGACCAATGGTCACAGGAAGAGCCAGGGTGGTGGTGGGGGGCATGGGTTGCTGAGATCACAGTCTCAGTGTATGCTCCTCAGATTCCACGGACAGTTTAGTGTATTTGTTCTCCCCGGCTGAGCTGATCTTCCTCATGAGTGTTCACCTTTCATACTGGTTTGTAACCCGGAAACTCCTACTGAAGTTGCTTCTAACTTGGAAAGTGTGGTTCCATGCAACCAACTCAATATCCATAGATACAAATGCTCAGTCTGTTCTAGTGAAAATGCGCTGTACTTCTTTCAGCCATGGAGCAGAGGTATGTCACCTACAGGCTTGCGGTAATGTGGTAGGGGTAGTCTATAACACGGCATACCTTTGTTCCTCACAATGGCCTCAGCGGTCCCTGAGGGAAAGATGACTCTCCTCTCCTGGCTCCAGCTGTTGATGCTGACCTGCACCGCCCGTGGGTGGGGGTGGTGAAACTTGCCTTTTTGTCTCCCTCCTCTTGCTGTGGATCCAGTGCTCCCTGGCTGACTGAGCCTCAGCCACTCTGCTGAGATCTGCAGACCCCTCTGGATCTGGGTCTCATCGTCCAGCCTATCGCTGGGCGGGGATGTCCACTCCTCAGCCTCAGCCACAAGATCTCCTAGCCCATTGCCTGCTTAGGTTTCGTCTGGATTCTGTCCCTTTCCACATTTCTCCCTCAGGTGATGCAGAGCCCTCCCTTGGATCTCACCTGCAGCAAAGCAGGCACCAAGATCAGCTCCAGAAAACGAAATTCCTAAACTACAGCCACCCATCTGCCCAAAGACAACATTGGGTCATTGCGCAGTGTGCCCCCTGTGAGTCCCAAGTGTGAATGGGGTGGAATCCTCCTTTCCCTGGTGTTCCTCTTCATTTCTTGTCACACCTCCCTTGTCTGAGCTCTCTCACCTCTGCCTGCCACTGCCTCTGTGGGCCCTTTCCCCCGCTGTGACTGGGACGCTCTTTTCTTTGGCTTGTCTTTCATTTGACCCAAGACTTCCCATACACTATCCAGGTCAAAGCGGGCATAGGGTAGAATGTGTACCTTGTCGAGCACATCTAGGAGACGCTGTTGTCACATAAGCCCCACGCCCCTGAAATCTTAAAAAACAGAGGGCTAAAGAACACAAGAGTCAAGTATGCCAACGGTGCCTGGGATGTTGGCTAAGATGGGCACTGAAGAGTGTCTGCGGGATCAGGAAGTATGGATAGTAATGATGGCCATGACGAGACCAGTTACAGTGGAGTGACTGGGACAAAAGCTCCATGGAAGGGGTCTGAGGGGAGACTATCTCACCAGAATTTGAAGCAGTTTTGCTTTGAAGGGCAACCGGTGATGTGCCAGTAGCTGCAGAATAGGGTGGTGGAAGACGGTGGGTTTCCCCCTTTGCTGTGGAACGCTCCGATGTAGAGGGAGCAGGTGCTGGTTCAGGAGAGAGGAATGATAACTGCAGGTGCAATGTCCCTGAGAAGGTGCAAGGCATGGGATCCCAGGCAGAGGTGAGGGGCTGGGTGCAGTCAGGAGCAGGCGTGGAGAGGGGCTGCAGAGTGCCAGGGCAGGAACATGCGGATTGGGACTGGGAAACTTGAGAAATCCCACGGGGGGGTCATTAGCATGGAGGAAGGTTCCTAGTGTGTAGTGTAGGAGTGTAGCTAGGTGACCGTGAAACTGAACAGCGGTCTACTCCGGCCATGGATTTAAGATAAAACACTTCTGTAAAGTTGTAAAGTTTTCTCCTCGATGCTCAGACACAGGCAGGGAGTGGGTAGGCAGGAGGGTGCAAGGAGCACAAGAGGTGTGTTTGCGGGGGGAGAGGTGTGTTTGCGGCGGACAGCTTCCAGGCCTGGCTCAGCCGATCGAGGAGGGGCCTGGCGCATGGTGTGAAAGGACGCGTGGTCGGTGAGCTGGAGGTCTCCAGCAGGTTGTGGCATCAGTGCACTGGCACTAGTGCGAAGGAGCTGGAGGACAGGACGTCATGTTGAGGGTGATGACAGGGAGGAATGCTACAAAGAGGACACCACGAGGGCCGCGGTCTTTCCTGATGTCCGGGGCGGGACCGTGGGCAGAGGGATGCTCGGGTGGGGAGGAAGGGAGCATCGCTAAGGACGGAGAGTCTCCGGGGTGACCGGGTGAGCCTCGTGGGCACTGAGGACGGATCAGAAGAGTGAGGGCTGAGAGAACAGTGAGTGTACCACGGGGAGGAACGCGTTCACAGGCCGGGGGTGGGAGGGAGGAGAATGGACAGGGGACTTGCAACGTTCCCGCACGTGGGAGGCTTCGGCAGTGGGCGACAGGACCCGGACGTCACCGGTCAGGTTCTTCAGTGGAGAGTGCCCAACAGGGTCCCCGAGAAAACGCCCAGCCGACCAGGGCCGGGAGACTGGCACGGGCCTCACTGGGTAGCTGCGCGCAGGCCCAGAGCCAGCCAATCGGAGTGCAGCCCCGCCCACCAACCTCCGGATCTTCCCGGACTCCCTGACTTCCTGCCCGCGTTGCTATGGTTCCCCGGACGGCTCGCAGTCCAGGGGTGGTTTGGCCGGACCCCTTCGAGAGATTCCTTTCCTTTCTCTCGTCCTTACGGGCATCTCCCTTAACTCTCGCATCCCCGCCGTCCAGTCCTCTGCGCGAAAACCCAGCAGGAACGATGACTTTTCTTCCGGGCTTGCGGCGTTTTGGTTTCTGTGGCCTGCAGGTGGCAGTGTTGCTCCACAGTGTCGCCGGGCCGGTTTTTCCTCTGCCCTTCGCGCTTCCATAAAGTGACGGGAAGCCTTTTGCCGCAAGAAGTGGCTGGTATTGTTGTTTCTCCTCCGCTTGTGCCGGTTGGCTGATTCAAACTGCATCTGAGCCCTTCAGAGAGCCCGTTGTGAGAACTTTCACCGAACCCATTGACACTTAAAATTACAATAAAATAATATCAGCTGATATATTGAATAATAGTGGACGGCGTGGTCACCCTTGTCTTGCTTCCGATCGTTGAGGAATTCCTGTATGTTTAAAGAGAACTTTATTATGACAGTGAGTTTTGACTTGAAAATCATTCCGTGAAGTGGAAGGGAAAGTGGCTCAGACGTGTCTGATTCTTTAAGACCCCTTGGACTGTAGCCTTCCAGGCTCCTCTGCCCATGGGATTCTCCAGGCAAGAATAATGGAGTGGGTTGCCATTTCCTTCTCCAGAGGATCTTCCCAACCCAGCGATTGAACCTGGCTATCCTGCACTGCAGGCTGACTCCTTACCATCTGAGCCACCTACAATAATAACATGACAGGGACAAGTGCCAACCTAAGATCCTGCTGGACACCACCCAAGAAGCAGATGCCATTACTGCCCTCATTTTATGCCTTTGGGACCTGTGGCACACAGAGGGAGAGTCAGCTCTCCAGGTTCTCAGGGTTCCTCAGAGAGTGTCCCTATGTTCAGGTCTCAAGTCTGTCAGAATGCAGTTTGCACACTGGCTTGCAGGATACATTCCCCTCCCCAGTGGAAGAGTGAAAAAAAATGCTCACTGGGACTGAGGGTAAAACAGCCTGCAATGCTGCGAAAGATTGACGGCAGGAGGAGAAGGGGATGACAGAGGACAAGATGGTTGGATGGCATCACTGACTCAATGGACATGAGTTTGAGCAAGCTCCGGCAGATGGTGAAGGACAGGGAAGCCTCCTGACGTGCTGCATGCAGTCCATGGGGTCACAAAGAGTNTTTTTTTTTTTTTTTTTTTTTTTTTTTTTTTTTTTTTTTTTTTTTTTTTTTTTTTTTTTTTGCGGGGGTCACTTGAGACACATCAGTAGTACCAGTTTGTTTTGGAATCGCATTTAGCAGATTTTTTTTTTTTCTAAACCATGAATAAGTCTGTGTTTTTTTTTTTTTGTGCGCTCGCGCCGGTTGGCCGCTTGGAGGTGCTGAGGAAAATGCTCAGATACATATAAAGCAAACTGAAAAAGTAACGACAAAGAGAAAATATTAAGCAGGTCCAAGGAAAAGTAGCAAATAACAGAAGAGGGTATCCCCATAAGATTATCAGCTGATTTCTCAGCAGAAACTCTGCAGGCCACAACGGAGTGGCATGGTATATTTCAAGTGGAGAAAGGGAAAAACCTACCGCCAAAAATACTCGACCAAGCAAGGCGCTTCTTTCAGATTCAACAGAGCAATCAAAAGACAAGCAAAGGCTCAGAGAATTCAACAGGACCACACCAGCTTTACAACAAAGACTAATGTAATAGCTCTAGGGAGAAACAAAATGCCATGACTAAAGTCAAGAGAATTATGAATGGGAAAGGTCACCAGTAAAGACAAACACACAGTAAACATGGAAACTCATCCACACACAAATATGATATCAAAACCAGCAGTTATGAGAGGATGGGAGTACAAATGCAGGATATTGAAAATGCATTTGAAATTAAGAGACCAGTAAAGTTAAACAAGTATATATACATGTATATATATACTCTTTTACTCAGGCATGTCTGACTCTTTGCAACTCCATGGACTATAGCTCTCCAGGCTCCTCTGCCCATGGTATTTTTGCAAACAATAATATTGGAGTGGTTTCCACTTCCTCCTCCAGGGAATCTTCCCAAGCCTGGAATCAAACCAGAATCTTCTGCATCCCCTGCATTGGCAGAGGGATTCTTTAGCACTGTACCACCTTGGAAACATATATATATATATATATATATATATATGTGTGTGTGTGTGTGTGTGTATAGGTGTGTATGTGGTTTGTGTATTGACAGCTAGAACAAAAAAACTCATGATAACCAAAGTTCTACAATAGATATAGAAACAAAAAAGGGCTCCAAACACAACACTAAAGATAGTCATCAAGTCACAAAAGTAAGTTTAGAACAAACACCTTTCAAACAAACCCAAAACAATTTTTAAAATGGCAATAAGGACACACATGTCAGTAATTAACTTTAATGTAAATGGATGAAATGCTGCATCCTAAACAAAAAAAGAGAGAGATAACAATTAAAAAAAAATGAAGACCCATGTATAATACTGCCTGGGCTTCCCTGGTAGCTCAGCTGGTAAAGGATCTGCCTATAATGCATGAGACCCCAGTTTGATTTCTGCATTGGGAAGAGCCCCTGGAGAAGGGATAGGCTACCCATTACAGTATTCTTGGGCTTCCCTGGTGGCTCAGTCTGTGAAGAATCTGCCTGCAATGCAGGAGACCTGGATTCGATCCCTGGGTTGGGAAGATGACCTGGAAGAGGGCGTGGCAAGCCACTTCAGTATTCTGACCTGGAGAATCCCCATAGACAGAGGAGCCTGGTGGGGTGCAGTCAATGGGGTCGCAAAGAGGCAGACACGACTGAGTGACAAAGCACAGCCCAGCACACATAATACTGTCTACAAGAGACCCATTTTCAAATCTAGGTACACATACAGACTGAAAGTGAAGGGATGGAAAAAATATTCAATGCAAATGGAAATCTAAAGAAACCTGGAGTAGCAATACTGACATCAGACAAAATAGACTTTAAAGACTGTTGCAAGATTCAAGGACACCACATAATGATCAATGGATCATTCCAAGAAGAAGACACAACAATTGTAAATAAATATGCACCCAGCATAGGAGCACCTCAATATAAACAGCCATAAAAGGAGAAAACATCAGCAACACAATAATAGTGGGGGACTTTAGCACTCCACTCTCATCCACAAAGAGCTCATCCAGACAGAAAATCAAGAAGGAAGCACAGCCCCAAAATGACACATTACACCAGATGTACTTAGTTGCTATTTCTAGGCCATTCCATCCAAAAGCAGCAGAATACACTTTCTTCTCATGTGCACATAGAACATTCTTTATAGATCATATCTTGAGTCACAAATCAACCCACATAAATTTAAGAAAATTGAAATCATATCAAGAGTCTTTTCTGATCACAATGCTGTGGAATTAGAAATAAGCTAAAAGAAAAAACTGCAAAATATAATTACAAATATGGGGAGCATAAACAATATGCTACTAAGCAACCAATGGATCATTGAAGAAGTCAAAGGGGAAATGAAAAACTACCTAGAGACAAATGAAAATGAAAACATGATAATCCAAACTTATGGGATGCAGCAAAAGCAGTTCTAAGAGGGAAGTTTATAGAAATAAAATCTTACCTCAGGAAACAAGAAAATCTCAAATAAACAACCTTACACCTAAAGTAGCTAGAGGAAGAAGAACAAACAACACCCCTGTTTACTTGAAGAAAAGAAATCGTAAAACTCAGAGCAGAAATAAAATAGAGACAGAAAAAGATAGGGAAAATATCAGTGGAACTAAAAGCTGGTTCTTTGTAAAGATAAACAAAATTGATAAAAGGTTAACTAGAGTCATCAAGAGACAAAAGCAGAGGACTCAAATCAATAAAATCAGAAACAAAAAAGAAGCTACAATGGACACCATAGAAATACAAAGGATCATAAGAGACTACTACAAGGAACTATATGCTAATAAAATGGACAACCTGGAAGAAATGGACACATTCATAGAGAGCTAAAATCTCCCGAGATTGAATTAGGATTAAATAGGTAAAAAAAAGAACAGACTAATCACAAGTACTGAGATTAAAACTGTGATTTTAAGTCTCCCAACAGAGAAATCTTGAGATTGTTGAGACCCTGGAGGGGGCCTGACCAACTAAGTCCCAGGCTTAGCAACATTCTGAGTTTTTTACAAGGCAAAACAAACAAGATTAACATAAAACCAGTCTTGCAATTTGATCACAGACTGATGAAGGTAACAGTTTGCACCCTTCCTGGGATTGTAAGTGGGATCCCAGAACTGCAATCTTCGAAGTCTCACCCAATGGAGAGGACATGCTGCCTGGGACCCTTTCCAAATTGGTTCCCCCGATGTGCTGTGACACATGACTTTAAATCTAGATATTGGTCAAAACCCAATTTGGTGGGTCTGCTCTTTCTATTTCTCTTTCCTTTTAATGTTAGTATATTGAAAGTAAACTAGACAATTCTCTAATAAATATGAGTTATTTATTTGTGAAGAAAAAAAAAAACTCCCAACAAACAAAAGTCCATGAATAGGTACCATCACAGGAGAATTCTATTTTTTAGAGATCACTTTTACTTCTGAAATTATTCCAAAAAAACTGCAGAAGACAAAAACAGTCCCACACTCCTTTTATGAAGCCACCATCACCCTGATACATAAACAGGACAAAAATACAACAAAAACGACAAAAACAAATTACATGCTAATTTCACTGATGAACGTGGAGCTAAAAAAACTTCAGTAAAATACTAGCTAACCAAATACTGTGATATATTGATAGGATCATACACCCTGATAAACAGATTTATCCCAGGAAAGCAAGGGCTCTTTAATATACACAAATCAATCAATGGGCACACTACATTAAGACATTGAAGAATAAAAACCATGTAATCATCTCAATAGATGCAGAAAAAGATTTTGACAAAACTCAACACCCATTTATGATTAAAACTGTCCAGAAAGTGGGCATGGAGGGAACATACCTCAACCTACTAATGGACATATATGGCAAGTTCACAGCAAACATTCTCAATGGTGAAAAAATGAAGGCATTTCCTCTAAAAAGAGGAACAAGACAACGTAACCACATTTGCCACTTTTATTAAACGTAATTTTGAAAGTCCAAGCCATTGAAGAGGGAAGAAATAGAAATAAAAGGAATCCCAATGGGAAAAGAAGATGCAAAACTGTCATAAAGTTTTATGATAGTTGCTTCACAGTTTTGTGTTAGTTCTTCCTGCACCCACTTCCTCCTCCATTGGGTCCCCAAGTCTGTTCTTTAAGTCTGTGTCTCTATTGTTGCCTTGCAAATAGGTTTATCAGTATCGTTGCTTTAGATCCCATATATTTGCGTTGATATACAATATTTGTTATTCTTTCTTACTTACTTCACTCTGTATAATAGGCTCTGGGTACATCCACCTCATTAGATCTGACTCAAAACTTTTCCTTTCTTTGGCTGAGTAGTATTCCGTTGCACATATGTACCAAGCACCTTCATCCATTCATCTGTGGGTGGACATCTAGGTGCCTTCCATGTTTCAGGTATTATAAATGGTGCTGCAATGAACGGTACAAAAAGTACATGTATCTTTTTGAATTGAGATTTTATTAGAGTATAAGCTCAGTCATGAGATTGCTGTTTCATGTGGTAGTTTTATTCCTAGTTTCTTTAGGACTCTCCATACCATTCTCCATAGTGTATGTACCAATTTACATTCCCACCAATAGTGCAAGAGGATTCCCTTTCTCCACATCCTCTTCGGCATTTATGTTTTGTAGATTTGTTGATGGTGGCCATTCTGACAAATGATACCTCGCTGTACTTGTGAATTGCATTTCACTAATAAAGAGCAATGTTGCACATCTTTTCATGTATTTGTTGGCCATCTGTATGTCTTCTTTGGAAAAACGTCTGTTTTAGGTCTTCTGCCCATTTCTTGATTGGGTTCTTTATATTTCTGATATTGAGCTGCATGAAATGCTAGTATACTTTTGAGATTAATTCTTTTTCAGTTGCTTCATTTGCAATTGTTTTCTGCCATTCTGAGGGTTGTCTTTTCACCTTGTTTATAGTTTCC